GGATAGGGTGCTTCATTATAGAAGCAACCATCCGGTGGCCCATAAGGTCAGCTGTCTGAGAACCCTCTTCAAGCGAGTAGACTCTCACTGTAGCTCTGATAGCACTAGAATTGAGGAGAGGAATCATCTCTTCCGGGTGTTCAAATGTAATGGGTATCCCACGAGGTTCATTAGGCGACACTGTGTGCCGCCTGAACCCTGAGGGAACCCACACACAGAGGAACCCACTCCAAAAACGACGCTTGTTGCCCTCCCCTATATTTGCAATGTCTCGGAGGCCACGGCCAGAATCTTAGCACCCTATAATGTCAAAATAGCTCACAAGCCTACCCAGACGCTACGTACTGCCATTATGCATCCAAAAGACCCGCTCCCCAACATAGAAAAGTCATCAATAATCTACAGAATTAACTGCAGAGATTGCTCCAATAACTATGTTGGGGAGACCTCTAAAAGGCTGAAAACTAGAATACAGGAGCACAGATTAGCGATTAAAAGAGGAGAACAATATTCGCAGCTATGGACGCATATGGCAGAGACTGGGCATCGGTTTGATTTTGAGGGTGCACAGATTTTGGCCAGTGATGGTACGAAGGGTGGCCGCCTACTTAAAGAGGCATGGCTATCCAGCAGTGATTCCATTAATCGCCACATTGATCTTTGCCCAGCACATCTATCTCTAAGATCTTGGTGCAGGGGCCCCCCACCCCATTGCAAACAGCCCGTGGAACCATCATGTATACGAGTTGGCAGAATATCAAAGAAACCCCCCCAATCTCCGTGCCATTCCCAACGAACAACCAACATCCTGGAGAAACACGAACAGCACTCCGGAGACCCACCCACGCCCCAGAACCGGTGAATATCCCCAGGAGATCGAGGGGACATCATACGGAGTAAAAAGGGGAGGTTGTGCTTTAACAGCTGGCACGCCTCACCCTAGGCAACTAAGAAGCCCGGTAGGGCAATGGACCATTCCGGCTAGAATCCAAGACCCCCCATTCCATCAGGAGGAGGAGGGAACTATCACCCCCTCAACTCGACAGGAGACGATGACCCACTCATTGCATGGACTCTGGACTCCAGCGCGGAGGTGCTGGGGAGGGGAGCTGAGCAGGCTGAACAACCTGCAGGATGGTAGGCAGACGGAAAACACCAAACGGGGGAGAAAGGGGAGGATTGCAACTGCAGCCCCAGACCTCGGATCTCGGACTCCAGCATGAAGGGGAGAAAGTCGCACCATTGGGAGGGAGACTGAGAGGAGTGGGGGGGGGTGCCGAGAGGCAGATTGCTGACTGGGAAGGAGAAAGGGAAAAGACTGCAACCCCCGTGCATCGCGTTTGCAATGGTAATTACATCGGAACAAAAAAGGGGAGAGATAAGAAAATAGGAGGCTGCACCATCAAAAAGGAGACGGGGA